CTTAAAATTTGAAGTTAAGCTTTCGCATTTCATGGGCAACAAGTTGCAATAAGTTTAGCTTCTTGTTTCTTTAGGTACTAAAAACAAATAAGTTTAGCACCTAAAGAAACAAGAAAATGAGAAAGGAAAATGCTACCCAATACCTTTAACAATTAACATAATCAGTCATATCTTCCTAGTCTAGAATGTTGTGCATATTAAAAAGAACTCTTGCAGGTAAACATATATGTGTAAAATCCTGATTAGAAGGGGTAAGTGCAATGAGCTATCACATAGCATGAAAGTATGTATTAAGCCAAAATTGTTCATATGTTAACTAAAAAAAATTATATAAAGATAATAGATATTATTGCGTAGTTTTGCCAAAAAAAAAAATAATAATAACATCTTGCTGAAAATTTTGAAGTATTTATTACATGTAAGTCTAATAAGTGATATAAATTTTTCCTGAAGATATGTAGTCAATAAAAAAAAATCACAAGAAACTCATACAATATTAACGTGTGATTTTAAGTTACATGCTTCATCATCACTATGGTTCATGGTTTGAAGAGGGAAGATTGTGGCTATTTCTTTTTTTTTTTTCAAATTATTTTCCTTTCTAATATGAATCAACCTCATGAAGTTTCATTAAAGTGCATAAGATATAATGATCCAAGTTAGAAGTGCTTATTGGACTCATAATTCTTTACAATTAATGCCCAAAGAATCAAAACTATGGCTTTTCAAATCGTGTATTCTTCTCCTCCACAAAATTTTTCCCAAACAGTTAGAGTTGTTAAACGAGACGAGTCGAGCTTGAGCATAGGATAATCGAACTCGATTCGAACCTCTAATCGAGCTAGCTCGAACTCGCTCGATTAGTAATTCGAGTTTTATAAGGCGTTCGAGATCGACTCGATATACTGATAGAAAACTCGAGCTCGGGCTCAAACTCGAGTTTGAAATCGAGCCGAGCTCATCGAGCTCGAAGCTCGAGCTCGAGCTCGCGAAAAACTGGAGCCGAGGCTCCAAAGATTTAACTTCACTTCCCTTTGTCCACTTAGTGTTTATCGTGGACATCATACTAGAGCTAATGCGGTCAAGAATCTGCTGCTTTTTCATCCATAACTTGAAGAAATCATAGAGCACAAGATTTTGTTATTAACAATTGGCATGGGAGCTAAAAGATATAAACTGTATACTAGCAAGAAATAAATATTCAAAGAAACTAAATAGTAGAACAATCTCGCTGCTACTTGATGCTACCACCAATTAACGACTAGTATCAGTGTAGGAAGTAAATTAGAATCTGTCTCCACTGTGCACCTTCTTGCTATGCCTGCTCAGATTATGCAGCCACCCAATTCCTTTAATGGCTTTAAATATCTTAACAAGATTAGGCCTTGCCATTCCCAAATTCACCCTTCCTGCTGACAACTTAAGGGCTTGCAAGCAACAAAACTGCCCATCTGACTCCTTCTCCTCATCGTGCCCATCGCAGCTGATATCTTCGCATTCACGATGCTTGCTTTCGTATTCTTCTTGTAACTCTTCTTCTTGCTCATCTTGCTGTTTGCCTTGCTCTTAGTCGATTCCACCTCGTACGTCTCCCACAATAAATCCATCCCTTCACCTTCATCGGCATTGTTTCTCTCCTCGAAAAGCTGCCGGGTGCGGCATATGAATGGAGGCTGCGGGGTGCGGCTGGAGGGTGACGGCCGTGGGACGGGAAAACGTAAAACCAGAAGAGGAAAGAAAATTATGGCTACAGACGGAGACGGGAGATAACTTAGAGTACCATATATACATTGAAATGACGAAAATGCCCCTACTCTTCGAACCTAACGAGCTTAAACGAGTACTGAGTAGAGCTCGAGCTTGGATTGTTTGTCTTTTTAAACGAGCCGAGCCAAGCTCTTATCGAGCCGGGTCGAGCTCGGCTCACAAGCTGCTCGGTTCGATTAACAGCTCTACAAACAGTACCATGATTCTTCTTTGGTACCTACCTAAAGATTCTCCATTTTGACTTTTTTCTATCGTGCGTTCTTGATAGAATTTGTCACCAACTAAATTTTATTATTTAGGAAGTAAATCAAATTCTAAACTTATACAAGGCACAAACAGACAGGTGACAATTCCAAGATCTCGAAGACACAAACAATCCAACGGTACATGAAAATTTTCTATATTACAGGTATTAACTAATAGTATTGTTTTAGGACATTGCCAAATGGATGATCACATGCCAATACGTTGCCTTTACACTGGTGTTTGTGCTTTAGTTAAGGGCAAAATAAGTAGTTCAAAAATGTAAGAAACACCCAAATGTAAATCTTTTAACACACTTTTATATGGAGTATAGATATAAAAATAAAAGTTAGCCAATACATATAAATGTTCAGTGCATCCTGTCTGTATAACCACCTGTTCCATGGGACACGTATAGGTGGATGTTACGTATAAATGGTAGCATACTTAAATGATTTTGTGACTGTGGTGGATGAGATAGGAAAGACATAGTCTGGTGTTTGCTTTGCATGACGAGATTTTTTTTTAATGAAGAATTAGGAGCATGAGATTTATTAGATAAACGAAGTAGAGAAAAAGTGGAAAATAAAGAAAAATAACAAATTTTTTTAATACATTATCAATGTATACATGTGCAATATTAAAATATCTTCTCTAAATAAGAGTGCAAGTAGCTCACAAAGCAATAACAAAGAGGAGGACACTGTAGAAGATCGGTTTATTAACCTAGTTGCTTCCAAGAAGTCCAGAACGAGAAAAGACTATAACATTATTGAAATGATGCAAACATGACAAGATACCAAGGTAAATACTAAAATGCCTTGGCCATTTAAGCAGTCCACTAGTAGATATTAAGCAAATAACCATTAGAAAAATGGATTATTTGTTTTGCTATTTACCCAAAGGAAATTCTAACCCCGTATTTCTTTTGAGGACAATAGGATGGAATTAATTTAGGTACAAAAGGAAGAATACAAGGTAGGTAGATGTTAGGTTGGACGTTTTGCTTCTTTTTTTTTTTTGGATTTATAAAATCAAAGAGCACACATACTAGAAAAAAATTTCAAGACTTCCCCTTTTTTTTTTTTGAAGAGGTACTAGTTATTGTAGTATTTGCGAAAACAAAAATTTGTACTGTATCCATGTTGAATATTGATATTGCATAAAAAAATATCATTTGTGCATACACTGACAGTGCACGAAAACATTATTCTCAAAGAATCATCCATTTCTTTGTGTGAATTTAGTCACACTTTAGTTGTATAGAATAGGATTAATGATTTCTCTAGTTGCAATACAGCGACTCTACCGTGGATTGTTTCAAATCCATTTCTAAACATTCCCTTTGATATAGACACGTAGCATATTTACCTTGCATAGGTCTTCAAGGGATCCATTATTGAGGCCTCAATGGTCCATAAAATTTAACATGCAAATACCATCTTCAGAACTGCTCATACTAACATCGTAAAGTATTTTTCCATGAATACCAGCTCTGTCCTTGTGAACTCCAACTTAATTAGGAGCTTAAGAACACCTAAAAATGAAGACATATAACTCTAATAAATTATACCCATTGAGACTACGGATATTCATGTATCATTTCTTAAAAAATTCAAACACGAATTCACCGGACAAATCCTGCCAATTTAGCAATAAAATAAACTTTAATTGTAATTCTCTTGTCAAAAGGAATTGATTATCCTTTTATACTACTAGTGCGGGCAGAAAACTAGGCAATTAGATAGCATAAAAGCCATCATCAAGTGCTGAATTGCTAAAATCATCTTTGCGACAAGAGCTTCCCTAGTAAACTAGCAATTATTTGCCAGAAAATAATGAAAAATACCGTGACTAAATACAAGATATTATCCCAACATTGAATTTTCCTGATGAAAAAGTAAAAACTAAAGAAATAAAACACCCCTTAACAAAATATTGCCCCGTCATCTTAAATAGTTGAGAGAATTTAGGATATGAAAACCGAAAGCATCAATATTCAAAAATCGTGTGAACTTTTCAAAAGTTCATAAAGTGGGTATAAGATTCAAAAATGGTGTGCAACTATTCAACCAATATTAAATGTAATAAGATTTGGCTTAAATTACGTACCAAAATGTCCAGGTGGAAAAACTCGTTGAATTTCTACCAAAATGAATACCTTCTCCCGTTCCCTCATTCACCACCCTTAACCTACCGCCGCTAACTTTTCACAAAAGATCCATCTTACATTCATTCAAATTTTGGTTCTGTTTGGATTGTTATTTTTTGGAATTTTTATAGAAAAATATACTGTAACAATTTAATATATGTGACTTAAAAGCAGTCATTAAAAAACGTGTTTACAAAAAACAAAAAAAAGTTCTATAAAAAATTACAAATCAAACAAGGCCTTAATTTTCCTAATAACTAGATAAGGGAGAAAGTTAGTCAATACTTAATATCTCTCCCCAGATTGACAATTATCTATTGTCCAAGTTTGATATCATAACCCTGATCGTCCATTTCTAGAATAATTGGTGATGCACTAGAAGCATTTACAGGGTGTGAGGACTCGAAAATTATTTTTAAATTTTTCCCTGTTTTTGAAAACTAATTTTTACTTCCTTCTAGTTCACTTTACTTGCTTATTTGTTAGTCTTAATTTGATGGTAATTTTAAAGGTTAAGTTAAGATTTTTCTGTTTTCCCTTTTATAATTTTGATGCATGTTAAGTTTCGTAAAGTATTATGGTAGTTTGACCGACTAGTGAGATGTGTGTGTTATATTTGATGAATGAGAACAAGTGTGGTACTAGAAGGAGTATATGATTAGAAGTGTTAAAAGTATATTAGAGGAGCATAAACTAGCAATTAGAGGATAAGAAAGACAAAGAGATAGGAATGGAACCAAGAGATGACCAGTGTCAACGTAGGAAGCTTTCTTTGACTAAGACTTCCATTAGTCTTTATCTTGCAATTGACCAAAAAAATTTTCCTTCATTTCTCCTTCCTTATGGCCAAAATTGAGAGAAAAAAAAGAGAGAAAAAACTTCCAAATTCCATCTTGATTTGTGAAAAATCCAAACACCAACCCTAAACCACAGCGATTACTCTTGAGTTGAGCTTGAAGGGAAGCTTTTGGTGGAGTTACTTGAGAAAGAAAGCCCTTGTTTTGTATTTTTCCTTGGAGGTTTGAATGTATGAAGCTAAGGAACTTGCTTCTCTTTCTATTCTTGCAATTTATTGGGCATATGACTTGACTATGGAAGTTTTGTGGCTGGTTTCATGGATTTGTGATGTTGTTGGAATTTTTCAGCTTTTATTTATATTTTTCAGCCATGAATTGGGAGTTTCTAACTTTGATTTGGATATGAAAGTTTAGATATGAAGATTTGTAGCTTTGATATGAAATTTTATCTTCAAAATAGGATATTCCAGCTTTAGATGTGAAATTCTAGCCTAGGGTTTAATTTTTCCAACTTGAGTATGTGATGGTTATATGCTATGTAATGCTTGATTTAGTGAGTTGGTGGCCTGGTATGTATATGCTTGATTTGAGGCTGTTTTATGGTGAGAATGAAGCCTTAAAAATGGCTGGAAATTAGGGAAAATAAGGGGAAGTGCTGCTGAAAATTTTTCCCGCAAGAGACTTTGAGCAGATTTGAAAAATATGTTATATCTTGGTGTAGAAAAATCTGAATTGAGTTCCGTTTATTGCATTTGAAACTAGACTCATAGCTATTTTAACCGTGTAAAAATTAGGGGTTGGTTCAACTCCTATAAATACCAGCAAATTTACAAATTTTCCTGAAAAACCATGACTGTTCTGTTTTGCTCAAGAGACAGCAGTGATTTTGAACTAAAAATTTGACTAACCTATGAGTTGAATTTTATGAAGATGTCTTCTAAAGTCTATTAGACTTTGAGTCTATTTCTAATGGTATAAGTTTTGTGATTTTTCAACCTACGGAACTCAAGTTATACTTTTTCAAAGAATGTCGCCAAAGCTGGGAAATTTTGTCAAATGAATTGAGTGGAACTTGGAAAATTTTGAGAAAACTTTAATTGGTGTGATTATAGATGATTTTGTGGCCTTAAACAAGTGTACTTCATACCCCTAGAATGCATTTGGATATTCTTCAATTGGCTTTCAAGTTTGTCTTTGAGTTTTGTGTTTTGAGAGGCCGATTTTAGATAGGTGTATGCCTCATGATTAAAGCTAAAGTGAGTATCTTATTAATCTAAGTTTTGAATGATCGGACCATGACATCTTGTCTTGGTTACTTTTAGGGTTTAACGGTGGGAACGAGCACGACCCGGAGTCGAACGTTTAGCTTTGATCTACTTTAAAAGGTGAGTGTTCCTTGCGTGTTTCTACAATAAGTGACTATGTGAATGATTGTTTGAATGTCAAATCCTTTCAAATGATTGTTAAATGGATTTTCAATAGGCGAGTGTGTACTTTATTGCACTCGACCTAAGTGAACGTGAAATTTTCAATGATTAATGATTGAATGTTACTTGTGCATGAATGTAAGCCTTTGGCTGAACTGGGCCCTTGCCCTTCGTTGCCACTCGATTCGAGCCAGAAGCGGACTCGGTCGGGCGGCTGGTGACCCTGGGACAGTGTTTGGTATACTCGAGTATTACCATGAAATCTGGTGGAGAACTGGCCAATGAATTCAATGCAATGATATCAATGAATGAATGACAAGAACACTGAAGGAGTTTTCACTTGTAAATGTTTTCTAATGTTGGAGGGATAAGGAAAATGGTTGGCGAATGAATGAATGAATGACTTGAATGAATGGATCCAAGTGGGTACGTATCCTTTCAATGATTGAAAGTTTATTTCTTGAATGACTGGATATTACTCTGCAAAGCATGCAAATTGTTAAATGTAATGTTTCCATGGTTTCCCTACCTGATTGCTTGTTTAGGAACCTCAATGGACTTTTAGCTCATTCCTTTAGTTTTTGTTTTCCTTACAGAAAGTGGAGGTCTGGAGCAACTAAACGTGATCTAGTGTGTATAAGTTCCTTGTACTTTTATGGATTTAATACATTTGGGATATTTGGCAATGTAAAGCTACGTTTCACTTTTGGCTTGTAAATGAAGTTGAATTATGGTTGATTTGAGAACCTTATTATTTTCGACAATGCTAGTGAGTGAGTCCCGACGAGAGTTGGGTAGGTAATCCGCCAAACCTTTGGGTTCGTCCTAGGGAGAGGTGGAATCGTCACACAGGGAAATTTCAGAGGTCAATAATTGTTGTACAAAGTTATCCAATTTTTGAACTTTCCTAAATGGAAACTTTAGTTCTAGTCGAAATGGACTGCTTTCCAGACAAACAGACGAAATTCTGTTTCTCTTACCTGGGATTTTGTCCTCATTCAAATTTCAGTAGCTGAAAGCTTTTAATTGGCGTGATTGATTTTCATAAGCAAGATCCAGTTCTTATTTAAATTATAGTAATTTTTTCTTGAATTTTGACATGGGCTGAAGTTTGTTAAAGATGTGCAAATTCTGACAGTCACGGAAGCATAATTCAATATCGCCTAAATTGGATAATTTTTTTCATATATGTGCGCACTCTAATGAACATAAATGAGTAAATTCCATAAGCGTAATTTAGTGAATATGAATGTGCACTCTGGTGAATATATATAATGTGCACAAGCGTTTCCCAAATTCAAATCCAACATTAAACACTAATCAGTCAATTGTTAATGATTATCTAAGTTGTGATTGTAATTTGCATAGAAGGGAGTTGCGGCGATTTATCTATTAGAAAACAATTTTGAAATTTCTTATATTTTTCAAATCTATTCACAATTCTTCAGATATATTGTATTTGTTAAATTATGGATAATTAAATGCTTCTTTGATCTCAAATTCACTGACTGGCATAGTAAATTTAAAAAATTAGTTAGTGATTATTATGAGCTTTGTTTCTTGCAAATTTTTTATTTCAAAAATGTATAATTATATTCAGCCATCCACTTGAATTTTTTTTTATCATTAATTAACTACTGTAAGAAAAGTACTTGTATAAAAATGTACCCTAACGTGCATGTAAAGTACCTCATTCTGTATAGGAAAAGTGTCTATTTTGCCTCAAATTGAAGTCGAGTTATTCAATTGGTTATGCTACATCAAAAAAATTGCAATCATGTGATATTTCATTGTCCTTACATAAAAATCTTTTAATGATTTCTCTATTTTACCATAGTGTTTTATCAAAAGTGAACATTGACAAACATTAAAGTGTATATCAATATCTACCGTAGTCCACATTGCTAATCAACGAAGAAAAATTATTCTTTTTCAATAGCCTTAATCACAAATTGCCCCCTGTAATAAAAAAACATACAAATTGCCCCCTATTGCCAAAAGGTCGAACAAGTGGATTAGATTTTATTTATGAGATGTGTGAAAAGGCATTCAAGCCCTCGTATACATAATATTTTAATAGTTTTATCATTGGGCAATGGTGTTATTATATCTTTTTAAATAAAGAATATTGTAGAAAATTGTGATACAATTGTAGATGTATATAATCATAGTAATTACATAAATGTTTTATTAAATAAAGTTTGTAGTTATGATAATATGTGCAATTGAAATATTTTTCAAAAAAAAATACTAATATATACTTAAACATTAAAAGGATTTATTAATAGAGAACAAGAATAAAAATGAAAGAAAGTACTTTTCATGTATATTTTGTCTCCATTTTTTAAAAGAAATTATTACAAAAATTAGAATACTTATTTACCAAAAAAATAAAAAATTATATTTAACCATTGAATTATACCAATGTTTTAATATGTATATATTTCACTTTTCATTTTCTTTGTTTTAAAGTGAAATATATATATGTAGAACATTGGTATTTGTCAATAGTTAAATATAGGCTAGTATCTTATATATATATATATATAACATTGGTATTTGATTGGCTTTCTGAAGGCTGAACAAGGTTAAGACCATAAAGAGATTATCACGCCCCTAACCCACACGCACCTGTCACGTAACATCTGTCATATTCTCAAGTCCTGCTCAAGAATACAAGCCAACATTAAACTAGACTAAATTTAAAAAGTACTAAATAGTATAATTAAATAAAGTGCGGTACAAATCTCAAAAGAATGGTAGTCAATGAATATCTAATAAGTTCATACATTTATTCTCTCAATAAATTTTAATATCAAGAGTGATTTTCCAATCAAAAGACTTGCCCTCGACTTCTACTCAAGTGTACAAGCTTAGAAGGGGAAACGTTTTTTACTACACAAGCTTAGTACATAAAAGCACTAATTGTGTTTTGTCAAACTAAAATGTATGCACGCGTAGAACCAAATCTACAAACTCAGAGTTTTCATTTTCACTAAAACTTATTTTGCTCAAATTTTCTATGTTTAGTTTTATTGGTTTTTAATTTTTTTTTATCTAATGTTTCCATTTCACCATTTTCATAGGTTTTCATTTTTCAAAAACAAAAAAAAAAAAAAAGAAACAAAAGAAATCTATAACGTCATTCATGTGATATGGTGTTAGGTTTTTGGGACAGAAAGGCAGCGGAAATTAAAAATTTTTTCCCAAAAACCCACTCAAGGATCACCCTAGATTTTGCGTATGGTTCCAGAAGAGAGGGAAAAACGGGTTACCTTAATCCGCGTGACGTTCCTCTGCCGAATTGGAGAAGATGAACAACCCCTTGAGCAGTCCAGATGTCCTGCCTGTACCGAAATCCACGCGAGAGTGATATCTGGATCGTCTCTACGATATATGTGTGAAAGTTATAAAAGTTGCCAGCCTTTCTTTTCACTTTTCCTTGTCTATATTTTTCTCTCTATGTATGTCTTACACACCTTTTTTCCTCCACTCTCTATGTATGACAAAACCTTATTTTTCCCTTGAGAGAGTCATAGATGTTTCATCGTTCTAATAGAGAGAGGATTCGTAGAAAGAAAAAAGGAAGAGATAGGTTTTTTATCCAATAACAAACTCTATCCCTCAGCTATCTGATAGATAGGAGATAACTATTTTCTCCTATCTGCTCAAATAGGTCTAGAATTTATTTTTCTTATAAATTAAATCCCGAAAGTATCTTATACTTTATTTCCAAGTCTTCACTCAGACACATAATTTTAATCCAGAACCAAAACTCTAATGCATGTGATCCAATAGGCTCCAAATACATTGGCAATAATTATGAGTTATAATTCCCAAAAAGAATTAGATAAAATAAACAACTTTATTTTATCATTAATTACAATAATTAACTAATTCATAATTATAAATCATGAGCGGTGTCTAGCAACACAGCATGACCGCCCAAGTACCCGAAATTAGTCAAGGGAATTTTGACCTAACCTTTTCATGAGAAGTTACCATGTAATTATTATCCTTTCACCACCGATATCCAATTAGTCAAGGAATAAGTGCCAATTCCTTAATGACTAATTAAATTTACTAGTTTCCAGAATTAACCCTAGATTAGGTTAACTTGAAAATATTTTTCAATTAACCTAATGTAGGCGACCTTTTAGGATTAATTTCCCACTAGTGGCCATCCGGATATCAATTCCTACTATCGGAGTGGTGAATCCTATCTTGATCACTCATTACCTTTCCGTGTTTCACACTACACCCAATCTCTGTTCTCTAAGTCACTCTCAATGAGTAACAAGCAATAGAGTCAAAATGTAGTGATTCACACTCAAGATACTATGGTGATCTCAAGTCGCAGGATCATTTACATAACTTACCACAAGAGATACAACCATTGGCACTAGATAGATATCCTAATGGGATCTCTAAGCGAATCACTCCAATGTATTTGTACATTACAAATCATCTACACATTAACCTAGGTATCTATATACTATGGTTGATGAGAACAACCACTACTTACATTAAGTAGAGACTAATTGTGTACTAGTCTTTCCATACTAATGATGTCCTATCTCATTAGTACTATGACTAGGGAAATTTAAGAATATTACTATAAATGTGATTGATATCTGATAGGTTGCAATTTTATTATTTATTTTATTATTAATTTCTCTTATTACCTGATCTGATATGAATTAATTATTAGATTCTACTTATTTTTCGTAATTTGCATTTATTTCAGAGAGTAGAACGAAAATACCACAACCAACGCCAATTTGACAGTCATCAGGAAAGAATTCAAATGAACGGCATATAGGGGCATTTTGGGAACAAAAGAGACGCAAGCCCTCTTGGGCAATTTGGCCGAAGTGTTCTTTTCCCTTGGGAGCCGCCGCACAAGAGGAGCTCTTAGTTAGCAGTTAGGTAGAAAAATTGGGCAGAGGACAAGCACTACTTTTAGGCTTAGCTTTTGATATTTCGTTTGGGGATGCTTTTAGGAAGACTCCTACGGCGCTTGTCAGGAGCAATTAGGAATTGCTTTCTTTGACTTTTCTTGTTCTTGTCTTTTAGTACTTCTTTTCTCCTCGGATGGCAGGAACATTTAGGAAGACATTGAATTACCCTCTATAACTTTGCTTTTCTTTATTCCTTTGAACGAATTGAGTTCGCCTATTTTCCACTTGATGGCCGCAGCTCTTGTTTCAATTTCCTGTGAATTTTGTTCATCAAATATGAACTAATTTCCTCACTCTAGTTAAGGAATAACGGATGCTTTGGATCGCCTAAAATTGTGAGATCGATTTAATTTAATCTTTTTCTTTTATTCATTGGTATTTGCATATTCCTTGATTGCTATGCTTATGGTTATTTAATTAATTGATTGTCTTGGATCCGGATAATTAGTTAATTTGGTAATCTATTGTCAATTAGGGCATTTAAATCCCTAATTGTTTAATTGCCTTGAATTAGTGACAACTGGCACGATTGGGTTTGTGTCAGGGGGATACGCGGACTAATCTGAAATAACCCTGGTAGTGCGTTATTTGATTAGAATAAGACTCCTCTAATACGTAAGACAATTGAGAAATTAAATCTTATGGGCGTACCTAGAATTATTTCTCAATTAGAGTAGTGATTAACGGGCGTACCTTAATCATCGACACAGTAAGGAGGGGTTGACTGTCATCGCTTGTTTGGCAGTTATAACTTATTTATTAATAAATAACTGGAATTGCTTGTGCATTGATGATCAATTAGGTGAACCATTGTTGAAGTTATTTCTTGGCTAGATCTTTAATTATTATTACCTTGATTTTAGCGAATTGCCATTTGATTTTTAGTTGCCTATTTTATTTTATTTGTAATTGTTTTCTTGTTTTAATTGTTTTAGACCTTCAATTATTGTTACTCTAAGTTTAGTGAATTGTCATTTAATTTCTAGTTAGTTATTTATTTTGATATTTTTATTTGAATTTCTTTGATTGTCATCTTTTGCACAAAAACACCCCCTTTGTTACTGTGGATTTGAAAATAAACAGTTACTCCCAGTTTTTGGTAGGATACGATAAATTCTATTCTACGCCTACCCCTACTCCTACTTTAATAATAAGTCACACCTACTCCTACTCTAATAATAAGTTACACCTACTCCTACTCTATACTAGGAGGGAGAAGGACCCAAAGGGATCAAGGAGGAACCTGGAGAGGACTGAATCACCATCCAAACGGATAGGAGGAACCTGGAGAGGACTGAATCACCATCCAAACGGATACCATCCAAACGGATACTTATGCACCCGTTGGCGAAATCTTCAGGAAATTATGACTATAACTCTCTTGACCTTGATGCAAGTAGAGACTTAAAGCTCTTGGTGGCCAACTATTCTAGAAGTAGTTGGTTAATTATGAAACTTACTTGTTTTATGCAAAAGCTTACTATTAGTTACACCAAATTTACTACTATAATTTTGTCCCCCCTGTGAATCCTATAATAGCAGGTTAAAACCTATATGTGGCAGTATATCAGCAACTCATTTATGAATTATAGCGGTGACTCCTCATTATCACAGCATTGTCCATTTTCAAATTGTATGTTTAGTGAAAAGAGATGAATTACGTCCAACCCTAAAAATTTGATACAATTTTTCTCTAAAAATTGTAGACAATAGAGATTTGTGTAATAAAAACAAAAAAGATTATGTTAATTAAAATATGAGCTATTTCATTAAAAAAATATTTTCTTGAAGGCACAATTTTGATATGTGCAGTCAAAGTGCATTATAAATTTTAACAAATACTTTATGCAAAAACTAGTGATCGTTAATGCAACCAACTTGTTTCCATCTCAAAAGATTTTAATTTGATTTTCATTAATTTCTCTAGAGGAAGGAACTGTGGCAAAGTAAGACCAGTTGATAAAAAAAAAAAAGTACAGAAAATTTTCAACAAAATTGTCATCTAGTTTCTTTGATTTTTCATTTTGATCAGTTTGAACATTTAGTCGCTAAGAATGGAAACTAAAAGATGAAACGGCAAAGAAAAGTTTTAAAATGTTTACTTTCTTTAGACTTCCAAAAGTATCGCTAATTGGAAAAAGTATGTGCCTGAAAATAGTGTAACGAAGAAAGACGCATATAAAGATAATTGTTGCACAAGTTTTTAGATTCTTTTTTCCTTTTGGCCTGATATCCAAAGTTATTTCTAGCTCTTACGCCAATGAAAATGGGCTGCATATAACAACAATACACAAATTGCATTAGACAACCACTTGAGGCAAATTTTATTATTCTTTTGCTATGCCCTTTCTCTATTGAAAAGTAACATAACCGAGTTTTTCGCCCCTTTCTTCTGTCTCTTCTAAATATTTGTTGCTAGACAAAAAATGGATGTTTTAACATATTAATTAATTGATTGTATGGTTCTTTGTTAAAAGTTTCTACACTACTCTCACTGAAAGTTAAAAGTTTCTGTACTACTCTGACTGAAACATGTAAGAAGGAAGAGAAAGATGTATCTTGCATTTAAACTTGTGCTCAACTTGCCATAAGTATCAAATCAATCTGTAGCAAATTAAAGAAGATTTCACGAATTGAGATTTTATGGTGCTTGCCATTGCAGTCACAGTCACAAAGTTATAGCTAAACACATCAAGTCAAACAAAAAAAAAAAAAGGAAGCTCCAGAAAATGCTTTTCAAGAAACTTGAATTAGACTACTTGCGAGGGGGGTACTTGACTCTCCTCCTCCTCCTCCTCCTCTTCTTCTTCTTCTTCTTCTTCTTTGCTGGAACTCCGTGCGTCACCACAATATTCAATTAAGATCTTTAGAACCTCATTTCCCATATCTATCTGTTCTTCTTGAATTTGCTTCACTGAACTTGCAACAGACTCGCCACATCGTTTCACTTCAATCATTCCAAGAGTCGGACATTCCCCTGATACAAATATTGAGGCAAATAATAAGAGAAGCAAAGGACAAATGTTTATTTCTTTGTAAAACTCTCACAACTTATAACATGAAATTACTCTATTTATAGAGTTTAAACCAACTCCACTAACTATCCCACTAACTCCACTATCTATCCCAATAACTCCACTCACTCCACTACTAACTCCACTAACTCCACTAGGTACTCCACTAATCCCACTAGTTATTCCACTAACTCCACTAACTAGGTAGCATAAACAAATATGATTAATTAACAACGGTAAATACTTCTAACAATTCCTCCCTTAAACTGAAAGTTTATCAAACATTCAGTTTAATATGATTTATTAACTGCACAGACTCCAAGCAGCTTCCTTAATTTCTGAAACGTGGATAACTTCAATGGCTTGGTCATTATATCAGCAATCTGATCTTCACTTTTGCAGTAGAGAAACTCAATTATTTCATCCCTTGTGAGCTCCCTTAGAAAATGAAACCTCACATCTATGTGTTTGGTTCTTCCATGTAGAACTGGATTTTTAGAGAGCTTGATGGCAGAACTGTTGTCACAATAAATTGTAGTAGCTCCTTCTTGCTGAAAATGCAACTCTTCAAGAATATTCCTTAACCAAATTGCTTGACAGGCACAGGCGGTTGCAGCTACATACTCTGCTTCAGTTGTTGATAACGTAACAATTGGTTGCTTTTTTGAACACCATGAAATAGCTGCTGAACCCATCATGAACACATACCCAGACGTACTCTTTCTATCATCAGAATCGCCTGCATAGTCACTGTCAGTAAAACCAAACAAATCTAATTTTTCACCATTCTTGTAAAATAATCCATACTCAATGGTTCCCTGCAAGTATCGAAGAATCCTCTTGGCAGCTAGAAGATGTGTCTCCCTTGGATTTTCCATGTATCTACTAATAAGACTTACAGCATGCATAATATCAGGCCTAGTTGCTGTCAAATACATCAAACTTCCCACAATTTGCTTGTAAAGGGTGCTATCAACCCTCTTTCCTCCTGGTTCTTTGATGAGTTTTAAACCCACTTCAACTGGCGTACTAACAGAATTACAATTCGATATTTGAAATCTGTTCAGAATTTCTTGCACATATTTTCTTTGAGAGACAAAAATTCCATCAGCAGATTGCACCACTTCAATACCCAAAAAATAATGCATCTTTCCAAGATCAGACATATCAAATTCAGCCATCATAGATTTCTTGAATTTCTCAAACATGGCACTATCATTCCCAGTAAAAATAAGATCATCAACATATAAGCAAACAATCAGCAATTTACCTCCATCTCCAATCTTTATGAAAAGTGTATGCTCATATGGACATTTCTTAAATCCCTCCTTAGAAAAATAAGCATCTATACGACTATACCAAGCACGTGGGGCTTGTTTTAACCCGTATAATGCTTTCTTGAGTTTGTATACCTTATGTTCACCTCCAACCTTCACATAACCAGGAGGTTGATCAATAAATACCTGTTCCTGTAAATCACCATGTAAAAATGCTGATTTCACATCCAACTGGAAGATAGGCCATGAATTTTGAGCTGCCAATGCTATCACCATCCTAATCGTGTCATGCCTTGCGACTGGAGCAAAGACTTCTCCATAATCCACCCCAAACTCTTGCTTATAGCCTTTAGCTACCAGACGTGCCTTGTACTTGTCAACTTCTCCATTCTCCTTTAATTTCGTCTTGTACACCCACTTGACACCTATAGATTTTTGTCCTTCTGGAAGATTGGTTAACTCCCAAGTGTTATTTCGTTCAATAGCTGCAATTTCTTCATCCATTGCCTTCTGCCACTTCAAATCTTTGACAGCTTCTTCAAAAACTGTAGGATCACAATCGGAAAATAGTGCAAAATATGTAAGTGGGTCTTCAGATTGATCAATTCCAGTTACCTCATAATCAATCATCCATGCAGGTCTTTTTCTACTACGTTGAGGCCGTCCTTCATCTTCTGCTACTGTTTGGGAATTTGATATATTATCTGGACCATTTGATGGAATTTGTTCTGTCAACTGCTGCCTGTTTTCTTCATCAACTCCATCAAAATCAGCAGGTATTTGTTGTTTAATAATATTGTTGCTCCATGGCCAAAAATTTTCCTCATCAAAAATTACATCCCGACTGATGACAATTTTCTTGGTGATAGGATTATAAAGCTTATAAGCTTTTGACTGATCACTAACACCAAGAAAAATGCATTTCTCCCCTTTGTTGTCTAGTTTTGTCCTCTTTTGCTCTGGAACATGAGCATAGGCAATGCATCCAAAAATTTTGAAGTGATCCACTGTTGGTTTCCGTCCGCTCCATGCTTCCTCAGGCGTCATATTTTTAACAGCAAGTGTGGGACTTCTGTTCAATATATGAATGCTCCAGTTGACAGCTTCGGGCCAAAAATTTTTTGGAACACCACTTTTTGTCAAAATGCTCCTCACCATGTTCAATATTGTACGATTCTTCCTCTCTGAAACACCATTCTGCTGCGGCGTATAAGCTGCTGTAAGCTGCTTCTGAATTCCATGCTCCTCACAAAAATTTATAAATTCATGTGAATTATACTCTCCACCACGATCACTGCGGAAAAATTTTATGGATTTGCCTGCTTCCTTTTCGACAAGAGTCATGAAATTTTTGAACACTGAAAATGCTTCAGATTTTTCCTGCAAAAAATAGACCCAAGTTTTTCGACTATAATCATCAGTAAACGTCATAAAATAACGTTTTCCACCATTAGATGACGGATTTATGGGTCCGCATAGATCAGAGTGAACCAGCTCCAAGACATTTTTTGCTCTCCACGATTTTCCTTTTGGAAAGCTATCTCGATGTTGTTTGCTAACAACACACTCTTCACAAACTTCTGAAGGAGTTGTGATTTGAGGTAAACCAGCTACCATATTTTTCTGTTGCAAAGTTTTCAGTCCACCAAAATTCAAATGTCCATAACGAAAATGCCATAACCATCCCACATCTTTCGATTTTGTCGAGAAACATGAATGAGTCAAGTTCTGCAAATCGAGTGGGAACATACGATTTGCCGTCATCTTAACTTGAGCAATTAAGCCCAACTTTGCATCTCGAATCTGACATACACCACCTTTGCCAAAAATCTCGTACCCTTTTTCGAGCAACTGACCCATGCTAAGCAAATTTGTCTTTAAGTCTGGAGCAAAAAGAACATCAGTAATAGTGTGGGTAGAAGAATTTTCTTTAGCTTGGATAATTACCCTTCCTTTTCCCATAACAGAAATTGTAGAGTTATCACCAAACTTGACAGTGCTACGGAATGACTCGTCCAATTCAGAGAATGCCTTCTTATCTCCACACATGTGATTGCTGCAACCGGTGTCTAAATACCATGTGTTTTGTTGAGTTTCTTCACTCATGTGGCACACCATCAAAAGAGACACTTCTTCTTCTTTTTCTGCAAAATTAGTCCTTTCTCCATTTTGTCTATTCAAATTAGTTCGACATTCGGACTGATAATGGCCATACCTATGACATTTGTAGCATTCAACATTGGACTTGTCTGCTGACTTTGGCCTTTGATTTGTTAATGGATAGCCTCCTCGTCCTCTTCTTCTTCCTTGAAATTGATTTTCTTGGTGCTGGTATTGTTGTTGTTGGTTGCCACGATCATTATTTCCTCTACCTCTGCCTCTGCCTCTGCTTTTGCCTCCTCTCCATGTTGAGTGAATTTCTGCTGAAGCCACTAGTGCTTGCTCCTCTTTCTCTTGCTGGTTAATTTTTTGCTCATGAACCAACAAAGAACTCTGCAACTCATCAATTGAAATTGCATCAATATCTTTCGATTCCTCTATACAGCATACAACAAAATTAAATTTTGTTGTCATTGATCGAAGAATCTTCTCGACAATGGTGACGTCCTTCAAGTTTTCTCCATGGATCCTCATCTTGTTAGCGATTGCCATCGTTCTTGCGAAATAATCAGTGACTGATTCGCTTGACTTCATGCGTAAAGTCTCAAATTCGGTCCGAAGAGCTTGAAGCTGCACCCGCTTCGCCTTTGCATTTCCTTGATACTTTTTCTTCATGGAGTCCCAAATTTGTTTGGAGGTATCTTTGCTAAGAATTGTCTCCAAAATGGCTCGATCAATAGCTTGAAAAAGATAATTTTTGGCTTTAAGATCTTTCAGTTTCAATGCTTCCAACTCCATTTTCTGCACCTCTGACAATATTTCTCCGGCTGTTGGCTCTGCTACTCCAGATTCGACAACCTGCCAATACTCCTTGGATCTCAAGAAGTTCTCCATTAGCATACTCCAATGATCATAGTGACCATCAAAGCGAGGAATTGCTGGCTGCACAAAATTGTCGGTGGCCATCGTAATTTACAATTCTCACAACTCACTTTTGTTTTCACTCACTAGCCTAGCTCTGGTACCACTGATACAAATATTGAGGCAAATAATAAGAGAAGCAAAGGACAAATGTTTATTTCTTTGTAAAACTCTCACAACTTATAACATGAAATTACTCTATTTATAGAGTTTAAACCAACTCCACTAACTATCCCACTAACTCCACTATCTATCCCAATAACTCCACTCACTCCACTACTAACTCCACTAACTCCACTAGGTACTCCACTAATCCCACTAGTTATTCCACTAACTCCACTAATTAGGTAGCATAAACAAATATGATTAATTAACAACGGTAAATACTTCTAACATCCCCTAAACAAGAAGGTACCTCTTCCAACTTTAGACAGCTATGCACAACCAATTTCTCAAGACGGGGAAAATTATCAGGAGACGCAATCCAGCTACGAAAGTCCCACAACATAGACAATTTCAAAACTCGGAGGTTAGGGAACTCCCCTTCTTTCATTTCCCATTCTTCCCCAGAGAAGGAGCGCTCGAGTAATTTAAGCACTTCGAGACTAGGCAAATTTCCAATTGTTGAAATTTCACTCCATGGTTGATCATTCCTGTAGAGAGTCAACTTCTTCAAATTCAATGGGAATTTAAATCCATATCCACGAAAGGAACGCAGAGCAAGTGATTCTAGTTGACTCAAATAGTCAAACACGAGAATCCCGTCGCCAATTCTGGTAGATTCTTCTCTTGATTTCCTCATCTTACATCTTAGCCTGTGGATGCTTGGTAACTTTGCTAGTATCTTTTGCAAGTTTTGAGAGGAGGAATCAATGGCAAGGCTTAAAGTGTCTAAATGATCTAAACCTGGGGATACTTCAAGATTTTCAATTGGAAAAATAAAACCAATATTGGAATCTGTAGTCCATAGATGCCTCAATGTCTTAATGCTCCAAATAGTCTTGGGTAACAAACAATCAATGCCGTTTCCTCGTAGCAGAAAAGTTTGTAACCTTGAGAGGTTTGCTATTGCAGCTGGGATAGAGTCTATGAAGTAAAGAAAAAGAGCCAAGTATCTCAAGTGAGCAAGCAAAAATACTTCCATCGGAAAATATGCACCAAACACCAATTCCCCCAAATCCAACACTCTTAGAAGTTTAGGTAACCAAAACCCCAAATCGTCCTCCCTAAACAATAACAAACTGCGTACGTTGGGAAATTCTAACATTAATTCCCAAATCATCAAATTCCTGGCATTTTGATCACAAACTCGGAGGGGGTTGCTTTGGCCAGTTAGAACAAAACCATCATTCAGACTACGCAAAATATGTAGAAAGTTCTCTTCTTTGGCTTTTTTAACACAAAACTCATGTACCAAATCATGAAGCCGGCATGCTTTGGCACCACCCGAAGTTCTTTGTTTGGAAGCCATAACTAAACTTCTATCAACCAGATCCGTCAAGTAGTTGTCTGCCACATCCTCTAAGCTCTTTCCTTCAATCTTTCGTATGAATCCTTCAGAGATCCAGAGCCATAACAACCTTCGGATATGAACATTTTCGTCTTCTTGAAATGCACCAAAGTAAAGAAGGCATGACTTCAAATCATCTGGTAAATAACTGTAACTCAGCTCAAGTGTCTTCATGCAGTGTTCATCATCAAGGACAATACTGGAAGTTAGACTCTTTGCAACTTCTTCCCAGGAGTCTTCTGCACTATTGACAAGAATTCCAGCAACAAGAACAATTGTGAGAGGTAAGCCCCCACAAGATTTTGCTATTTGAGATGCAATTCCACTTAGTCTTGGAGGACAACCTTCTTGGCCAAATAACTTTTTCTGCAGCAAATTCCAACTCTCTTCGTTGGTAAGGTGGCGGAGATGGTGAACTTTGCTATCAGGTTTGAATTGCAGAGACACATTCTGCAATCTGCTCGTGATGACAATCCTGCTTCCATTGGCATCATCAGGCAATAATCTCTCCAACAAGTTCCATGCCTTAGTATCCCACAAATCATCCAAAACTAGGAGATACCTATTTCTCAGTAACACTTGTTTTAGCTTTACAGCCAAATCATGTTCATCCATATTTTGATATTGAAAAGTTTCCCAGATTCAATACTACCCAATATCTAAACTAACAAGTTGTGCATGCTATATGCTTGAGAAACAATACACCAAGCACGAATATGGAAGTGCAACATTACTGAAGAAGAGCTGTAAATTATAGTGGCTAATGTGGTCTTACCAAGCCCAGGCATACCCACGATAGGAACAACATCCAATTGCCTTGCCCCTTTTGTAAGTCTTTGAGTGATAGTTTCGACCTCGTTGTCGAGACGCACCAGACCTTCATTGTACGTGGCAGCGGTAAGTTTTGATGGCATGCGAGTGAAAGTCTTGGTGACTCTCTTGGTTTCACCAACATAGTTTATCCTATCATAGATCTCTTGAGCCTCAATCTTCATAACATTGATATCTCTAGCAACATCATCCAAAAAATATTCACGTCCATCACCAATAAGTGTCCAGTCGATCACTAACTCTGCTTTATAGGCAACCTCCATAACACGACTCCAGAAAGCTTGGAGTTTTTCGTTCTGATTGCGCTGTTCCTTGATTTTCTCCAGGAAAGATCTTAAGAATTCAAAATCTTCTTGGATCGTCTGGATTGTATCCACTGGAAAAGCATTTGAACCATTAATTTCATCGGACCTTGCTAGTTCCTTCAGATTTCTTAGGAGAAAATCCATAGATCCCAACTCACTGATCCTAGGAAAACCAAATCCTGATACCGGTGTTAGTGGATCGACCTGTGTAAATTCTGCCCTTACAAACTTGAGCACTTTGAGCAAATGAAAAAGAGCAAGATCGGTTTCCTTGGACAAGCCTTCTTCGATTTGATTCACAGAAAGAGAGATAATTACAACCGCTGCATCACAGGCCACAACTACAATAAGGTTCTTCATTTCATGGCATAGCTCTTTGAACTTCTCCTGATGCCTGAGAAGGATTGTCAGGAATCTTAGCCCCTCAAGGAGTTTTAGCATTTGATTCATAATCGGAACCAAAGTATTGGTACAAGATTCTACTAGCTCCATAATATTGGTAATGAGATCATCCATAAAGTCAGCTACTAGATGCTTATTCTTCTCCAGAGCTAAAATGTCTGATGATCTTGACAACTTTGCTAGAGTCAAGACATGGTTGTAAGTTTCTCGGACCTGGGGATTACCGAGATTAATCTTCTCACTTATTAGTCGACAAATTTGAAGTTCTGTTTTCTTCCATACTTCTCCATTGTATGTACCGCTGTCGAACCACCATATAGAAAACACGTGTAATGCATTGATAGCCACCACTTCAGCATGAATCAAGAGATCTATCGATTTCTGACCCTCGATACCGCAAAATATGGCAAAGCGAATGAAACTCTTCAAGAACATTAGCTTCTTGTCAAGGCGTTTGAAATGGGATTCGTCAATTTCTGCCAGATTCTCGGAAACTGAATCAATGAAATCAATAACTAGCTCTGGATCTCGCAGCCAGTAACAGTCCAGCAGAAAGTTGATGCACGATTCGTTGATATCTGTTTCGAAAAACAACTTGATCGCTTCCAAGAATATGGTGAGCTCACCTTCAATATGAGTCCAATCAGGCGAACGAGAATGAATCAAGTATTCGCTGCAAGCAAATTCAAGACCTTCCATTCTCCTGATAATCAGATCTTGAATTCTGGAAGACGTAACATCCTTCTCCTCCTCATCTTGTTCCAAACAGGTTTCATGGTTCCTCCTCCTACACTTTGTCAGATACAGGTCAAAGCTTTGTAATAGTCTCACCCCCTTCTTCAGGTTCGAGATAAGAGAATCGAACGCTAAGATGGTTTCATACATCCAGCCAAGAAATTCTATTGCGAACTCAAAGCAACTAGTGCTACTGCGGAAGGATATCTCCATTATTTTTTTATTGCATCTTCTATTCACTCTGAGATCAAATTTGTACCTTGATGAACGAACTTAGTTCAAGGTTTACAACTTTCTCATGATATGAAAATAGTCAAATATCGTCGGCAAGACTCTTAGTTTTCCTGGCCGGGCCGGTGGATACATTAGGGTCCCTTTCCTGGGGCTTGAAGGGGTCAGCTTTTGTCTACTTTCGGCCGAAGTCCGTTTCCAAGTAATGGACATTTCTAGACCGCATAGAAACGATACCAATTCGGGCCAATCTAGATACTAAAGCAGTAAATGGTTTATAATACTTGCTGTTCATTTTCGATGCCTACAAAAACTGTAAATAGTTACAATTTTACCAGAATGTAAACGCTACAGTGTAAACTTCCCATATTGATATCTTGAACTATTTTTTCATCAATATCTTCATTATCCTTGCCAATGCCAACTCTATTAGAAGTTTGAGGGCACCTAAAACTCCAGACATATTAAGGTAACAACTCTTAAAACTCCAGATAACATTTGTTCAAAATCCATACAAAACTCACCTGACAAATCCTACCAATTTCGAGATATGATGGATTTTAACTGTGATTCTCTTGTAAAAAGGTATTGATTGCTCTTTGACTACTATATAGGAGGACGGAGAAAGCCATAACAATCAGATAACACAAACCGTCTAACCCCTTTTTTTCATGCGCGCAGGCTTATTTTGTGGTCTTAGGCTACAAAATAGGAATATCTTATTTTGAAACCAATTTTGTTAGGATACTTCAACAAGTAAGAATACAGGTGTTTATACTCTAATTACTCTGTTTGTTGTCAACCATGACGATTCTGTATTTAGATGAATATTCGCTAAGTAGAAACATATAGGGTTCTCAAGACTGCAGTAACGAAAAAAAGAAGAACTGCATAAATAGGTCTCACTATTGATTTTGGAGTTTTTCGAAAAAGATGCAAAAATTCATTTTGACTAACTATAAGTTTTTTGAATTTTTTAATAAAATATTTGTTGTACGCTATTATGATTTAATATATGTAAAATTAAAAAGTGATTGAAAAATATATTTAAAAAATAATTAAAAAATAAAAATAAATTAGTCCAAAACACAATGCGATTCCCTGAAAGTTTCTAAATAATGAGAGTTTTATGACCATAACCAAAATCACAAGAGGATTTAATGTATTTTATCCTTCCAGATCGGATTTGTACCTTGAATAAACTTAGTCAAATATTGTGGGCGAGCCTCTTTCTTCTTTCCTTGTTGCAGGCTTGCAGCTTCTAGAATGGCAATTCGTGGGCACCCGCTCCTCGAGGACTGATGGGGCAGAGGCGGGAGGAATTTTTTCTCTGCTAAAAAAATGAGGCGGGGCTGGGTAGCCACTAGAGGTGGCAATTTGGATTGAAATCCATTTATCCATCCATATAATCCATAATTAAATGGATTTTGATTATCCATTTATAGTATTGGTTTTAAAAGGTTGACCAAAGTAAAATCATTAAATTAAATGGATTTATATGGATTATCCATAAAAATCATATATATCCATTTATTTAAAAACCAAATAAAATTGAAGTTTTGGTGGATAGAGAACTGGGGATCAACTGTGACCGGATTGAGGTGGGTGAGATGCTCCAAGTTGCTCTACTTTGCACTCAATACCTCCCCCCCCCAACCGGCCTAAGATGTCGGATGTGGATCGAATGCTTGAAGGAGAGGGCCTAGCAGAAAAATGGGCAGCCTCCCATAATTATACAAATCAAGGCACAAACCTTCCCACCCTCAAGGCTGTTTTGTGTTTTACCATGTATGTATATATCGTTTCACAGTCAGAGATATTGATTGCTCCAATGAGTAAATAATATTTAAATGGATTATAAATGGATAATTGGTTTTTATTTAATCCATTTAGATCCATCCATTTAAATCCATTTATTAAATGGATCTAAATGGATTGGATAAATTTCATCCACCATCCATTAAATCAAAACCAATTATGAACCATTTATCCGTATTGCCACCTCTAGTAGCCACCCACTAACAAATTTTTATATAATTTAATTAGTAATAATTTTATAATAATAATATTATTAGTTATAAGTATTATATAATATATATTAGTATATATATAATATAATTAATATTATCAATTATTCTAATAATTACATATGTATATTAATAGAAATTATTAATTACTTATGCTAAATTTATTAATCTCTTTGTTTAGATAAGAGTTTATTTGTATGATTTATTTGAAATAATTATTGTAGTACTTTTATGATGTGATGTATGTAAAATAAAAAGACGATTAATAACATAAAAAGATGATTGAAATTCAATAAATTTTTTTATTTAAAACCAAGCCAATCCAAACAAACTTGACTTCTTGCGTTGGTGGTGACTTCAGGTCCCTGCGCTGGGGCCTAAACGAGGGAACCTTTGCCAACTGTCGGCCATGTTGCATTTCCAAGTAATGGACGTTTTTACACCGCAAATAAACGATACCGATTCGAGGCGTTTCTAGACCATGATGCAGGAAATGGTTTATAATACGTACTGTTCATTTTCACTGTCCACAAAGTTTGTAAAATAGTTATAATCCTAAAGCAATTATTGAAAGAGTAACTTTATTAATATGTTTACATTAATATTAGGAGTATGATCAATCATTGTACTTTTATATTAATTACAACAATAATATTGATAGAACTTATACCATTTAAGGTATGAATCAGAGCAATTATTGAATAAGGTAGATTAAATTCACCGAAAACAAAGTACATTAAATACAGATATTTTAAAGAAATTAAAAGTTATTTTTCAATTAGAAAGTGAGTTATAATTTAGGAAAGATGAAAATAAAAAATAAGATTATTAAAGTGGGACGAAGGATGTTATCATACTATTAGAGCAGTATTAGTTATCCCTCTTCCTATAAGATAAGGTCATTTTTTTTGTGGTCATCCTAAATTATGAACTTGTTAGTTTACCAATTTATTGCCATGCCCACATTTAATATACATCTTTATCAATAAATATATTATTAATCATTTTAAGAGTAGCAGATACATCACTAATGCTAGTATTAACGAAATGACATATGAGAAAATTACTTAGCAAAAAAATTGCACAAAATATACATTAACTTACATTTTTAATCTATATATAAAAATAAAAGTTAGCCTATACATATTGATGTTCAGTGCATCCAGTCTGTATAACCAACCGGTCATGGGGCACGTACTGGTGGATGTTAAGTATAAATAGTGGCTTTGTTTGGATATTAAATTTTTTCAAATAATATTTCGCTTGTATCATGAACACATTTTTCAATCCACCTTTTATATTTCGAATCACCTTTTAATCTCATATACATCACATCATAAAAAGTACTACAATAATTATTCTAAATAATACTTCAAATAATACTCTATCCAATATTTAAATGATTTCGTGACTATGGTGGATGCAATAGGAAAGAGATAATCTGGTGTTTGCTTTACATAATGAGATTTTTTTAATGAAAAATTAGGAGCATGAGTTTTATTAGACAAATGAAGTAGAGAAAAAGTGGAAAATAAAAAAGAGTAAAATTTTTTATACATTGTCAAAATGTATACATGTGCAGTATTAAAATATTTTCTCTAAATAACAGGGCATGCAACTCACAAAGCAATAACAAATAGGAGGATAGTGTAGAAGATTAGTTCATTAATCTAGTTGCTTCCAAGAAGTCCAGAAGGACAAAGGATTACAATATTATTAAATGATGCAAACACGACAAGATACCAAGCTAAATACTATAATGTCTTGGCCATTTACCCAGTCCACTTGTAGATATTAAGCAGAATCCATTAGAAAAATGTATTATTTGTTTTGCTATTTACCCAAAGGCAATTCTAACCACGTATCTCCTTTGAGGACAATAGGATGGAATTAATTTAGGTACAAAGGGATAACTACAAGGTACATAGGCAATCGGTTGGACGTTTTGCATTTTGCATTTTTCTTTTTGATTTTTTAAAATCAAACAACACGTAAACTAAAAAAAGAATTTCAAGTCTTCTCCTTTTTTCCATTGAATAGGCACTAGTTATTGTAGTATTCACACAAACAAAAATTTGTACATCTATGTATGTTGAACGCTAATAGTGCATAAAAATTATGGCATATGTGTAAACTGACGGTACATGAAAACTTTACTCTTAAAGAATCACACACTTTTTTGTCGTATTTATGCACACTTTAGTTGTATAGAATAGAATTGATTATTTCTCTAATTGCAATACATCAATTCTATTGTTGATTGTCTCAAATCTATTTCTAAACTTTTTTTTCCAATATAGACACATAACATATTAATTTACCTTGCATAGGTCTTCAAGGGATCCATTATTAAGGGCTTAATAATTCGTAAACTTTAACATGTAAATACCATATTCAGATCTGCTTACATTAATATCTTAAAATATTTTCCGTGAATACCATCATTATCCTTGTGAACACCAACTTAATTATGAGTTTAAGAACACCTAAAAATAAGACATGTAACTCCAATAAACTATGCCTGTTGCAACTAGGGTTATTCATGTAACATTTCTAAAAAAATTCAAATACGAACTGACCAAACAAATCCTACCAACTCAGCAATAGAATAAACTTTTAACTGTAATTCTCTTGTCAAAAGGAATTGATTGTCCTTTTAGACTACTAGTGTAGGGCAGGAAAATCTATAGCAATTAGATAGCATAAAAGCCATCGTCAAGGCTAAATTGCTAAAATCATCTTTGTGACAAGAGCTTGCCTAGCAAACTAACAATTATCTGCCAGAAAATTATGGAAATTTTCCGTGACTAGAAATAAGATATTATCCCAACATTGAATTTTCCAGCTGAAAACATAAAAATTGAAGAAATAAAACCACCCCTTAAAAAAATATTGCCCATCATCTTAAATATTTGGGAGAATTTCGGATTTGGAAACCGTCAAAATCAATATTAA